AGTCCTTACTGTGCAGTCAAGAGGTGGGAGGTGTTGTTTTTCGGCAGGTTATGTCATCCAAATCACAGTGGAATTACTTAAGATTATAGAAGTAGGACATTTCCTTTGCCAAAGTGTAAAGCATCACTTCAGACAGTGGAGATGTAGACATTTCTAAAGAAAAAGCTTAGAATTTTCTGTTTGGGAAAGCGCTGTGCAATTAAAAAGCAGACACTGTTGTGTCAGCATCCCTTTAGTGACGTGCTGTTCTTCTGCTGTGTCTTTCATCTCTTCCATTTCCATCATAGTGGTTGCTTTGATGTTCTCGGGTCAGAGATCGTGTCTCTGCACAAGTGCAAATTATCTAGGATGTAATTGCACTACTAAACTAAGAATAATACCTTGTTCAAAACAGAATTTCAACATATTATTTGACCTTCTTATCTTTTGTTTTCTCAGTTTCTAAAAGTTCACAAGAACAAGAGTTTCTTTTCTGTTATCAAGCTCCATCATCTTATTCTACAATTGCAGTCCTTGGATGGTTATGCAACTGATGTGACAGAAACAGCTGGAGATTTAAACTTCTGCATTCAGCAAGAGCTCATGCAATTCAGAATAGGATACTCTTCACTCTCGTATCTTTCTTCACCTTTTAAACTTAAAGAATAATTCTGAGAATTATTCACTTTTTACCATACATGAGTTTTGAAGTTAGGAAAAGCACCTTTTTTTTTTTAAATTCTGAAATTTGAGGGATTCACACCCTCTTTCTTTCTCATCTCATATGACTTTTTTTAAGTGGCCATGAATTTGAGTGTACTGCCGGGATGTGGTGGGGTGTCTTCAACTGTGGACTGCTTTTACTAGTTTCTTCTAAAAGGAGTTAAATGACATTCTTGGAGTTGTGTTGTTTATATGTGTATTCTTAGTAGGTGCTCTCATAGCCAAGCAGAGATTGTAGAATAATTTGCTATTGCAGCAATATAGGATGTATGGTACAACAAGCATGTCAAATACCACCTCACTTAACATGCCACACGTGAATTTATGAAAAAGACACTGAGTGTCTTATCCTCTCAGTTCCTCTCAGCCTGGGAATCGCAGGAAAAGACTTGAGAATTCTAAGAAGGGACTGGAGGATGTGGTGCATGTGTGAGCCTCTCCAGAGGGACAGGCAGTAGTCCTGTTCCCTTCTTACTCAGATGAGGTATTGGAAAAGTGTCTGTAACAACATTGTGCCAGTGGCAAGACAGAAACTCACTCTGTGCAGAGCTTATGAAAAGGACTGACAGCCACAATATCTTGAATCAACACATTAGAGCTGGCTGAGATGCAAACAGGGAAAAATATACCAAAGCTACCTTAAAGAAGGGAGCTGAGATCATTCTCTATGGAGGAAGACCAAGGACACTGAAGAAGAGTCATGTTTTTCAACACAGGTACTGGTAAGAGCGCTGAGAAACAGGTGGAGGTTGTTGAATCTGCTGGATCTGGGCTTGAGTTAGAAGCTCATCCTAGCTTATTCTTCTTAAGGCAATATGTAGCACTATGATTTTTGTCTCTGATCCTTGGTTGAGGATAGCTCCGAGTTTCTAATGGGCAGAGTATGTGACAGACTGGTCTGTGCTTAGCTGAAATTACATTTTTAAAGCAAATTCAACCTCATGATGAGCTGCTTTTCTAACATTATGTATAGTAGCATAACCAAATGAATCTCTAAAATATTACTTCTGAAGTGGTGGCAACTGTTGGAAAAAACAGGGAAATAAATCTGGTCTTGTGAGACCAGCACTGAATACGCGACAGATGCAAGTCGGGAAACAAACAGTAATCATTTATTTACAGCAACATTTACAGGTTCTTTTGGATTGCTGGTGATAAATTGAAAAGCTACAGGTACACTAAAGGTTGAATAACTAATACAATACCAACAACAACGCACTATGAAACACAAACACTAACAACAAAAAAACCAGCAACTTGCCCGCAGTGAGCCTGGCTGCCTGGCAAATAAACAAGTCCATTCAAACAGAAATACAGTGGAGCAAAACCAAGAATACACTCAGGGAAACCTAGAAATGAACCTGAATCGAAATATAAAATACACTCAGGGAATATGAACCTGAGGAGGAAAATATATCACTCAGCGTTAGCTGAGGTAAATGGTCTTACCCACAAGATGACCTGAGTGGTGGGGATGGAGAGGGAGCGAATTCGTCAATCCGTCCAGTCATCGGTATGGTTCCGAGTTCATCCTGTCCCCTCAGGTAAGGGCTCCCACGTAAGTTACCTTGGCCAACATTCCAACCAAGGGGGAAGGTTCTCATCACTCCATGGCTGGAGAAGTAACTCCCTCTTTCTAGCATGAATCTTAGGGTTTTTATTCCTTGATGTACGTGACAGAAGGCAGGAGGATGCCTGAGTGGATTAGACCACCTGGGGTGTTTGTCTTTAGCAGTGTTTCCCCTTATCTTTAGTTATGACTCAAATTGCTGCATTACATCACCAGGGCATACATGCGGGTGGGGATGACTATAGACAACCTTATCAGTTATGTTTATGTCACGAAGTCCGTTAATCCACACCTGCATGGGTAGAGGTAATGGTTCCTTTGCTTGGGGCAGAAAGAAATGGGGGACTGGGACCACGAGGCCTCTGCCTCATCTCACACTCCTCCAGGCATCCAGATAACACCAGATATGGATCTAGTGATGGTTGCCACCTTGCCCAGTGCTTAGCACTTCCAGTGCTTGCCACCTTGCCCAGTGCTGAGTTTCATGCTTCCAGGCATGCAGCTACATGGTGTACGTGACTTGGACTTTGTTACTAACTTTTGCTCTCTCTCTACAGCAACTGAAATAGTAGTGGAGACAGAGTGGAAAAGTAGTTTCACTGATGTGTGTCAAGAAAAATGCTGAGGAGGGAGTAGGTAATAAAAGTGACATGAGGATATTGGTCCAGCTTGTACTGATGATATCCTGTGTGCTGACAGCTTCTGTTTTCTTCTTTTGAGGGTGGTGGGCACAGGAAATGGTAGGAAAAGGTTCAGTTGGTTGAGCTGACTGCTTCAAAAAAGCTTACAGCTCTGCTAAGGAGATGATCCCAGAGATAATGCCTGCAGTCTTTAGAAGGCCCTATGGAAAGAGCATCTTGGTGTAGTATGTTCCCCTTCCTTAGATTTAACATCAGCATTTTCAAGGTAAAGTGGCTGCCTCATTGATTTTAAACCTGTTGAATAGGTAGAAGCCACATCTGTTTGACCGCTCGGCCATCAGATGAGAGGAATAGCAGAGAGGAATGCACACTGCCCTTTCTTTGGACATGTACAGGCAGATACAGCAGATCTTCGGCCAAAAGCGATGTCTGGCCAGACTGTTTAGATTTGAGTAAATCTAAATTTACTATAAATAATCTAAATCCATTTTGTGGATGCAGGTACAGGTAAGTAGAAGAGTAATAGTGGTATTGCTCCTCTCTGGTCTATGTGTTCTCAGTAATACATGTCCAGAGGCTCTCAATTTTTCTGTTGACTGTGGGAGAAACAAATGTCTTTAGAAGGATTTTCTGGTTTATTTTTTCGGGAGGTATTTTTTTCAGAAAATAATACTCTACATTGTGAACATACTTGTGAAAATAGCTTGTCAGGAAATACGCAAGTGTAGTATTTAAAGACAGACAAACCTTCTGCTGGATTTTCTTGTTATTACTGTTCACAAGCATCAACTTATAGAAATGTCCTTGTACTGAATTTATGCTAAATTCTTCTTGTGGCCCTTGTCGTATCACTGAACATTTCGATCTTGCTCACTCCACAGCTGCGTAAGAACACTTTAGCAACCTTACAAGACAAGTAGTGTTTTCAGTGTTTTGAAAAGCACTGTACCTTTCTCATTCAAATAATGAATCAGATTTAATAATAATTAATAATAATTAAGGTTGCATGGATGGCTGCCATACAAAATGTTATCTCTTCACCATGTCTGTTGAAAATGTGAGTTTGTGGATGGCTTTTTGGATTTCTCTTTTAGTTTTTTGAGGGGACTGAGTGGCTAAACTTTGTGTGTGTGCGCACGTACACAATTTGTTGTTAGGTTAACTGATAGCACAGTTCATACTCTATGGGCACCAAGGTATTTTTATGTCATATAATTTTAACGTGCTAACAGTATTCAAACTCCTACATTTAACATTGGTGTGTGGTGTAGGGACAATACTATTTTTAGACAAATGATGAAAAAGTGGAATAGATACCGTATTGTTTCTCCTTTATTCTGACTTGTTGTGAACTTACAGTGGTTTGAAAGCCCTAACCACTTTATATGGTAGAACAATTTGTTTCAGCTTTCTATCATCTTACTCCTTAGCAAACAGTCTGAAGTGTGCTATTTTTGTGAGTTCACATCAACAGAAGTATCACAAGGACTTTTGTGTCCTCCTGTCTGCGTACTCTGCGCTTCTGGAGCAGTGTGCTCTCCAGTCATGTACTTTCAGCTACATTCAAGGCCCCGAGGAGAGAGGTTTTTGTCATGCATAATTAAATATTGTTACTTCAGGGTAAAAGAGTTGCAAAAAGAGAGTTATCAACACAGCTGGATCTTACAGCTTGTAGAAATGGAAACCACAGCATTAGTGTTTTCACTAAGCATCTAGTCAAAGAAATAATGTATATGCCTTCCCTGACAAACTAGTAATAGCTTAGATTAGTTTAGCAGGCAGATGATACGGGTTTTTAGTGGACTCAGCTGTCATTTCAACACTTTATTTTGAGCAAGTAGGTAGTGAAAGATGCTGTTTCTGTTGTGCCTTTTTAACTGAGGCTGTGATTCTGTTGAATGAGCTTCTGCCTATCCTTTCTTTGATACAAGAAACGATAAAACAAAACAATGAAATGGTAACATCAGAAAGCAGCATTGAATTATGATATATACTAGAAAGAGAAGCTTCTAGTGATTTTGTTTGTATTTGGTAAGTGAGACAAAATGCCATTAGGCTAACTCTTGGTTTCCTTTCTGCTGGTACAGGAGATCCATCGTCGATTTGAAAATGCTCCCGACACAGCCAAGACAAAGGCTCTGCAAACTGTTATTGAGATGAAGGTAAATGATTGCATATAGGCAGCAGTAGAGTTTGTTCTCTAGAAAACGGGTTTTCATTTGAAAGGCGGCTGTGTCAAATGCCATATACTTCTGTCAGTTTTCTAATTTAAAATAAGTATATTTATTTTATACTACTTTATTTTTATTTTATTTTTTTATTACTCATCAGTGATGAGACAGAGCTGCTTCATGACACAGTAGAAACCTGCCTTCTGTCTACCTGCAGCAGCATATACAGATTTCTTTCAGTTAAGCAAGAGTCCATTGTACTGCAAGGATGGGAATGATGGATTAGTAGGATTTTATGATGATGTGTGTTGTTTTCTTTAAATGGTATCAACATTTGAAATACTACTCTGTGTTCTGCCTGCCAACAAAGTTTTCAGTTTGCGAACTCAAAACCCACTTACAGAATGGGTCATACAGCTAGAAAGATGTCTGTATGCCATCGTAAACCTGACTTTTCTGTATGGATTTGTGATTGGATTCTTAAGCCATTAATTCAAGTATCTAATGGAACAATGGCAATTTGCCAGGAGCCACAAGTGAAATGTGTGGTTTACACAGCTTTATGCAATCGTAATTCATATTCTGTGGTCCATAAAGTACATCAGACAGAGTTTGGACAAATAGAGTAAAAGAATTGGGAACTGTCTTTGCAAACTGTTCTCTTCAACTTTCGTATCCTCTCTTTGTCTCTCCTTTTTTTATCTGGGCCTCTTTCTTTTGTTTTCCTTCTTTTTTTCCCCTGCCAGCTCTTTCCATTCCATCTCAATGTTTTCCATAGTCATTTCCCATCTTTCTACTCTGGAGCCTTTCATTTACTGTCTTTCTTTTATTAGTCATCTTTGTGGTCCATAGTAATGAAAACTAATTGACTATCTGGTAGCAATAAGTCATCTTTACTATCGAAAGAGAAACACTGCTATTTCTGGGAAGTGAAGTGAGCATTGAAACGAAATACTGTTGTGAATTGCACCACATCACTTCACCTTACTACTCCTCTAATTCTTTGTTGCAAAAATCTGTTTTACCAATTTTAATTTAAGCAGCAGACATTAAGCAAGAGATCTGACTAGATCTTCATAATGACCCTTTAGAAAAATCTTCTCTAATGAATGAAAAGCTATGCTTTGTTCATCAGACAAAAAAAATTATCAAGGATTGGTCTATGAAAGAATGGAGGATCATTTCAAATCCTTCCTGTATTTCAGGAAACACAAAGTATTTTGGAGAAATGAAATTTTTAAAAAATAGACCACTTTAAGAAATTCCAATTCATAAATACATATCCATGTTCATGAGTATACCTGAAGCTCTCTGTGCTATATGAATCTGTTCTTGCTGTTCCTAACACTTAAGACTTCTAAGGAAACAGTAAACCAAGTAGATTGAAAACCTATGATTGTCCTGTAAAACTATGAGGAAAATGCTAGATTGACTTTTTTATTTTTCCAGATGTATATTTTTTAACCATGCAAGTGTTTCATATGTCGTATACATGAGCCAGAATACTTGATGGATCCTCTACTGCTTTATCTACTCAAAGCTAGATTGTCAACTCAAAACTAGATTGTTGCATCTCTAACCTTTCTTACGGTGTTTATGCTCTTTGCTTGTTACCCCACTTAAATTTCTAGTAGCACAAGCCAGTTTTTACCATTCTTGCAATCACATTTTGCTGTTCATTCAATTAGAATTATTTTTTTTTATGTTTTATGCTGGCTTCGCATTACAAGACAACCATTTTTCATGTTCCTTTATTTATTTATCATATACTGTGTCCCTGCCCATAGCCATGTTTTCTTTCAGTACTAAACTCTTGCTTTCCTCGAAAGGTATAAAAAACTTAAGAAATGAGTACTCGAGTACTCAACCAGATGCTATTTAAAGAACATAGGTGTAAACTGATTTCTGTAGGAACTTCAGGAGTAAATTTCAAGGGCAAGTACACATCCAAAAAATTAGTTTCTTTGGTTTTTTTTACTCCAATGGTATGTTCACAAATCATCTAACTGTGTGTCTTTATCTGTCTCTTCTAACTGTTTTCAGGATTCAAAAATTTCTTCCATGGAGCGTGGCCTCCGGGATTTGGAAGAAGAGATTCAGATGTTGAAGTCAAATGGAGCTCTGAGCACAGAGGAGCGTGAAGAGGAAATGAAGCAAATGGAGGTGTACCGTAGTCATTCCAAATTCATGAAAAATAAGGTATTGAGAAAACAAATTACAATAGTAAGATAAACTGAGCCTAGCAAACAGATGAGAGAAATTTTCATACTTTAAATGAAGTAAGAATTTAGGTTCTGGGTTCCCATTCAAATGCTGGGAAACAGAATTTATTTGTATTCTGCCGTGAAACCACTGAAATAACTTAAAAATTTTTAAGAGCTTTTAAAATTCAAATTTGAAAATACCATAATGGTGGTTCAGTAAGGGCAGTGGCCCAAAAATTTCTTTTACTGTGACACCTATTTTTTCTTTTTATTTCAGAAGGATTTTCTCATTATCTTTGTCATTGCTAATCCGTCATAGTTTTACTTTTTATTTGGTCTAGAGTCTTTTTATTAGGTAAAGGCTGAAAAGAGCATGAACAGTCACTACAATGGCTTTCCATTACACTCTCCTTCTAGTAGTGGAATCAGAGTGAGAGTAGACTCTGCAACAGTGGTGGTGCCAACATTAATTTATGCCGTTGGGAATTCAGGACAAATACAGCAGTGAGAATAGTAATCCTCAGGTATAAAGATGGACACTGACTACTGAATTGTCTAGAGCCAAAAGTCAGTTCATTCTCTGTTTCTCAGTCTTTCAGTGAGCCCTAACATTTTCTAATGAAGATTCAGGCCACCTTGTGCAGTACATTTAAGTATATTGTGAGCAGTCCTGCGTTGCTTAGTTAGCTTTTGCATACTCCCTGCAGACAGTGTGCAGATCCCTGGAACAGAGGTTGAATATTCTTCTACTAGGTTCTAAACAATTGTAACTTCCTGCATTTGTCCTGCTTGAAATTATTTGTCAAAAAAAGAATGCTGGAGAAAGTTTCTTGGAGACATGTTACTTGCCCCAAAGTAGAAACATGTAGTGAGTATGCGTTTCTTCCACTTCCCTCATACCAGCTCACTGATTTACCTCAAGATAACCACATCTGCTCTTTTATGCTTTTACTCTTTATCCCACTGAGTTGCTTCTAGGAGCTGAAGGTTGCCCCCTTTAAATTAGGAATGGAGAGATGGTTTTAGCACCTCTTTTTTCTTTCTGTCTTCTTTCCTTCTTTCATTCTCCCCTTGTTAGCAGCTCTTCAATTTCCCCCCTCTGTGGGCCTATAGATCTGTTCAGCCACTCAGTTTCTGGATCTCTTCAGTCTACAGTGTCTGTTCATTTCTTTTCTTGCAGAACATTTGCTCCCTTTTGGTAACTTCACTCATGACTCGTAGCCAGCTCCAGTCGTGGTATCTTGTTGTCCTACCTTGTTTTGTAATCGCACAATACTTATTTTTCAGTATTATGTTATATAGTCATGTATATATACTGTGGCTGTATCTTGACTATTAACTTTATTTCGCTTTAAGTGAAAAATGTCCCTTTCCCTGCCCTAATATCCTCATGATTTCCAGTTTCAAGACCGTTGGGTGAAGTGCCCCCATACTCGACATGTATAAACATAACCATAACTATATATCTTTCTTTCATAATCAAATTTTTGTCTGGCAGCCTAAGTGAAATTACGGAAACATTAAACTTTTGAAGACTTAATGAAGAACGGATGAGAAAGTGAGTGAGCAGTGTTGATCCTTCTCTTCAGTTTTTTGTCACTTTTAGTTACTTGGATTGAAACAGGCTGACTAAAAGCTGACAAATGATAAATATTTAAAAGCATAACAATGTCGTGACAGGTAGAGCAACTGAAGGAAGAGCTAAGTGCCAAAGAGGTTCAAGGGGAGGACCTGAAAAAAAGAGTGGCTGGTCTCCAGGCCGAGGTCTCTGCAGTAAGATTTATCTTTTGTGTGCAGTGGCCATTCACTGGGGCTTGCTAGTTCACTGGCTTTCGGGGTAGCTTTTCTCCTCTTACCTTCTCTACAACTTGATATAACAGTAGAAACTAACAGCCTGCTCAGCCTCGTAGCTCCCTTTTTGTTCACATGGTTTATGGTGTCCATAACATCATTCTTCAACTGAACATCTGTATTTGTTTTGTTACTGTTTTTTTAATGGTATGAGCTGTTTTAGCAGTAACTTACTTCTCTCTGTCAAAGCAGATTTTCAGAAGTATTCAGCACCCATTTTGGGGCCAGGCTTTCAAAAAGATTTACTTTCCCTCATACAAAAGAAAATAATGTAGAAACATGGGATGAAGCCTTTTAACATTGTTTCACAAAAAGTAAGGAAAGTTGGATGCTGAATGCTTTTTAAAACTGATTGTCTAATTTTAGCAGCATGCATTTAGGTTATTCTATTACCATTAAATTGGTGGATTTGTTGAGTGATCATAGTGTCTCACCAAGAAGAGAGATATGAGCACTTAAAGCTGCCTTAACTTCCCTTGCAACTTGAGATGGTATGCGTTGTGTTCTTCCTAAAGAGCTTTAGCACATTGGCAGCTCTGAAATGGGAATTTCTAGAGAGAATGGTATTAGGGTACTATGTGGGTATTTTAATGTAATGAAATGTGGTTGTCAGATGAGAGCATTTCACCAAAACACAACTGTTCAGGGTAAACGTCTCTTCTGAGATGACCCCCAAAATAATTTATCTTTTCAAAGGAAGAGCAAACTGGTTTGAGATAGTTTTACTATAATTCAAGCTACCTATGACTTGAAAAAATTTGTGTCATCTGAAATGTTTAGGGGAGACTTTTTTGTTTAGATACTCCAGAAAAACATAACTAGGAGTTCGTATCGTCTCAGTTATTCTGCCTAGCCATATTGTACAACTGGTTGTATTGGCCAGTAGCTGACAGCAGAAATAGTTCTGCTAACATCAATACTGTTGTATCTAATTTAAATAGATGGTGAATTCATTCTGAGGACATACTTGCTTTTAGTAAAAATATGAAAAAAACCTCCAGCCTAGTACATTTGAATTAAGTGAACAGTAAACTATTGGTTAGTTCTATAAATTAAATTGTTCTTATGCTCCTTCTCATTATTCCATTAAAAAAATAAATAGTTTGTGTGAGTTTTTTTGAGATACATGCCCTCTTTCTGCCACTCCCCTTCTTCCTTATCTCCTGATGTTTCACACTGAAATACAGAAGTCCTTGATGGCTTTTAATCTCAGTCATTTGTACTAGTACATGCATTTATTCTAATTAAAAACACATTAAAATATAATTTATGGCTGATATCAGTTTAATTTTGTTCTTGATATACTCCCAAAAAAGGAAGGTGACTTGGACAATTTTCTTCATTTGTGATGTACTTTAGTTTCAGTTTTGAAGCACTGGACAACTTACTTTTTTTTTTTTTTTACTGTCACAAACAAAATTATTCAAGTTAAAAAAGGGAAAACTGTTTAGTTTTTAGAGATATGTCCACTTCTGATATATATATCACGTGAAAGTAAAATATTGCTGTTCCGTGAAATACTTTGGAGACAAGCCAGAAAGTTGGTTATAAACTTGGACATAAGTCTATACTTAGACTTCCCTGTCCTCTTCATTATTTTGTTTTTATTCAGATTTACATCAAAAGTGTCCTGGTTATTGATTGCACTTAGAGTGAGATTTCATCTCATCTCAGTGCTTTACTTTTAACATTTCTTACTGTTTGTCTTTTTGTAATTATAATTCAACCTACATTTGTTAAAATGAATTTCTGTACTGACTTAATTCACTAAATTTAATCAAGGAAATGGCTCTCAACGAAGTGCTATTCCACAAACAGGTTTTTTCATGTTTTGATTTAAAAAGCTTCCATAAATTGTAAGGTATTTCTTAGAAGATTGAAATTCTGGGTTTGTAAATAATGGGAAAAGTAAAGGTGTCTTTTCATACTCTGTAAGCATGAAGCTGGATTAATTGTTGGATGGAAACTTGCTGGTTTGACATTTCAGAGCAAACATCATGCTCCTGAGAGAGACCTGTAGGTACCTCATGTTTTCTGATATTTCAGGGTAAGGGTACTTTCTTGTTACAGTTCTGCTTCATGTTCATTAGAAACTTCATTATAAAGATTAAAAACTGCCTAATAACTGGTTTTGGTCAGTCTTTGGAAAGACAGCTAAGAACAGACTGACTGTTAAAAAGAATCTCTTGATAAGTTGATGCTATTGCTCCCCCTTCTTTTTCCCTATATCTTTTGCTCATGACACAAATTTTTGCTGGCCTTCCATTCAAGGTAACTGAAGGCTTCATAATTTGATGGGATAAGTTTAGAGTATCATACTGTTTGTTATTAGTTCTATGAATTTATAGTTATTTTTATAAGGAAAGTATAATTTTTTTTTTCCTTTGCCTGTCTCTTCTTTCTTTTTCAGATTGGTCAGGTGAAACAGGAGCTGTCACGCAAAGACACTGAATTGCTGGCCTTGCAGACAAAGCTAGAGACCCTCACAAATCAGTTCTCTGACAGCAAGCAGCATATTGAAGTTCTGAAAGAGTCTCTTACAGCTAAAGAGCAAAGAGCTGCCATCCTGCAGACAGAGGTGAAATGGACAATGCTGTATTTATTGACTTTCCATAGAGAAAGACATAAAAAGTGTTATTTCTTCTTGCTTAGGTTATACAATCCCATAGCCATTCAAAACTGCATGTTCTGAGCACATTGTATCTCTGAATTGCACTTTGATTCTCTAGGCCAGGGGATTGAAGAAAAAGACAAATGTGTGTGTAAGTGCACGCATATTCCTGTGAATGAATACACACTTGTACGACATGCTCCGCTAACACACAGTCAGTAATATTATTTTTCCCAGACGCAGGTGAATTAGAAGTTGCAGTGCCTGAGCTGGGGGGATTTATTTTCAATGACCCTGTAGCTAAAAGAGAGCATTCCTGTAATATAGAACCCACTGAAGCTTCACTGCTACTCTCAGCATGTCTGGGAACTTCTTGCATGTAAGCCTGTGCTTACACCTGAAACAGTGTCTTTCATGTTCTGTGTTGCATATTCCAAGATAATGGAAAAATATTTTCCAAACTGTGTTTTGATAACAAATGCTTAAAAAATTCCCATATTATGTAAGACACAACTGTATATCTGAACATCAAATTGATAATAAGTGTAGTATAAATTTATTGCTTCTGGACATTCTTGAAGAACAAGCATGAAATGTTGTGTGAAACATTTCAAGTTTCATTTCAGCATTTCAAGTCCCTGGCTTGGAAAATTGTAGTGTTAGTAGGAGTCCAAAAGATGGCAGTCATGCATCAAAAAGTATTTGTGGTGTTCAAACAGCTAAAACAGTGAAAAGCCAGAGGAGCTGTGAAATACCCACAATTTTTCTGCATGTGTAACGCTGGTAGAAAGAATTATACATTACAAGAGCGTAAAAGAATTTATTTAAACTTTTACCCTCATGTAGCTTTCCTTTTAGCCATGTTCAGTGAATCTATGAGTGCACATGGCCTTGTCCACATGCAGAAATCAGGTTACATAGTAAATATTTTCTGATGTTCAAAGATGACTCTTCAGATTATTCTCAGATTTGTGTAGAAGTTAATATTGCAGAATCAGTTTCCTTTAAAGCAATAGTGTTGTAGACATGACAGTGACAGACTGCGTGTGACAGAAGTCTTGCAGGGAGTGAAAATATCTTTAGTTATTATATTTAACTGATACAGAAATGGAAGGAAATTCAGGCAGGGCCCACAAGTTTATCTCCAGATTTGAAATAATGGCAGCAATTTTAAAGTTTAATTACAAATTGAGAATGATAACTCTGTGCTAAACTTGTTTGCATTAACAGATAATTTCAGATGAGTAAATGATTTGAGGTGACTGAACAGGGAAGCGATAGCAGGTGTAGAGGTGTTGAGTTTCTCTGGAACAAAAAGAGAAAGGTCTTAATTTTATTTTTAAAAGATGCAATTAAATATTTGCCTTCCTAGTTTCCTATTGGAGAGAAAGAAAATGGTTTAAGTGACCAATTTTAGGCTAGAAAATGTAATTTTGAATTTCTACGTGTATTTTGTGTTAATACTTCTGGATTATTCACTTGAGACAAAGTTCATTTGCATTAGTCGGCATAACTGTGAAAGTACACTCGTTTACAATCATAAACTTGTTAAATTTGTTCATTCCTTTTTGCTAGTCAGGAATGTACCCTGGATTTGTATGCGCTTGTTTTGAAAAATATTTACGTTTCAAAATATCATTGAAAGTAGGTATTAAGTAAATAAACATTTTAAGATGTTAATTGCAGATTTTGATCCATTACAGTGATTGAAAATAGTATAGATATATTAAGTCACTGTGCAGCATTGTGACAAACCTACAGAGCTAGAAATACATTTATCTTCTTAGTTATAAATAATAAAAAGCAGTATTTTTCTGTCCATGAGATGCAGTTCTTGAAAGAATATACTTCATTAACAATTTAAAAGGCTTTAGTAGACAGTCATAATTTCAGCTGTTATTATAAGTAAACATATTTATTCAAATAAAATATATGTAATTTAAAGAAGATATTTAAAAAGAGAAAGACTTTGTTATATACCATTGATAGATATTATTGATAGTTATTCAAAACATTTTGATTTTATTTTAGCTGAAGGCCAAAGTGTTTTTTAATACAGAAAATTATTCTGTTCTCTAACTTGTAATATCACTAAATAATCATTGAGAGTATTTGTTCTTCACTGGGTTCTTCCAAATGAGATTCTCATATAGCACTGCAATGCAAAACCAAATCATATTCTTCCTCCAAAGCATGCAGACTTTTTTTTTGTACTAGTAAAAAGTGGCTGAAAGGAACCAGGGGGAGAGAGTGAGAGAAATTTTCTACTTACTCCTTTTAGATTATTCACATAGTTTGCTTCCAGATAAAAGTGAAATATTACTGCAGTAACAGCGCAAAATGATTTTCTGATTGTCTTTCTATAAGGAGTTGCTGTGGAGTTAAAACATTAACAATACTGTTTTAGAATGATGTTTCTGTGATAGATTTAATGGACTCAGTGCAGTTCAGCATGTTCTTCACAATAAGATGGAGCAATCTGGTATGGATTCAGCACATAGGAAGCATTGTTGGTTATCTGGCTATTCCATTGTCTCAGATTAAGTTAAGTATTTAGAATGATCCATTGATGTTCCTGATATGGAAAAGATAATGACATCTCTTTCATTTTTGCTCATGATCTTGACAGAAAGCTCCACAATTAAATCATCATACACATTTACCTTTCTTCTGTCTTCACAACTGAGCCTCTCAACTATTAAGATTGAAACACATTGATAAAACACAGCATTGAGATGTTTGTTGTTGCATCCTGTGATGCATTTGGATTTTTTTAAGGAAAAGGTTTATTTCTGTACAATATTTCTCACTGGAAATGGGGGGTAGGTATGTGAGATCCTTCCAGGTCTCACTTGTTGGCAGCACTAGTCAATGTTAAAGCATAACTAGATTCTCTCTGTACACCTTGAGAGAGTTATGAGAAGGGAGAGGGGTGCATTTTCTGTCCTATATTGGCAGATATTGTCATAAAGGATTGGTATTTTGGAGTAATATTTAAATAAACATTTTGAGAGAAAAGAGCATACCTTCATAAACCTTTGCCTTTTTGGTCTTCTATTAAAGAAAAGTGCAGATAGGTGGGGGAAAGATGTTGATAAAATATCTCAAAAATGAGTTTGCCACCTGCTGCACTAGAACGACAAAGAACAGTGAGCTGTTTGTGGGATGTTTATCTTGAGGGCTATTGGGTGGAGAGGATATTGTGGTTAACTTTTCAATTTGTGGAGGAACCTTTAAAAATAGCTCTAAAAATGTACAATCTCTTTGTAAACAAAACAAAAAAAATCAATATTTATTCTGGAATTAAGATTTAATCCATAAAAAGTTTGTGTTTTGCTCAGTGAGCCCTTTGGCTTAGGTCAGTGCCAGAAGGTATGTGGCTTCAATGGGAGGTTAAATTAATCAGTGAGAACATTCCCCTTTATTTTTGTATACTGCCCAAGCTGACATGGTTCTGTAATTGGTCTGTTCAATGGTAAATTCAAATTAATATTCCGTAGAAAAAATAATTTGGTCTTCTGGAAGTATTTTATTTGCTCTGAATATCTGAGTAGAACATAAAATTCTCAAAGGATCTTTATTGGGGCTTATAATGGCATTTTGAAACTATAGTAGACGCTCCTAGATCAGAGAGGTAGAAAGTGGATCATGTTTAGTGTGGAATGTGCAAATGGCAGGTGCTGTTTCTAACAAGACTTTTAGCTTGAGCTACATGAGGACCTATGCTGACATGTGCAAACATTAAGCTCAGCTCACAGAACCGAGTTCACCATGTTTAGATATATAATACCATGTGCTATAAGAACACTTGAGCTGATTCCTAAGCAGGCCCTGGAAGCATTTGGTTTATAACCTTAGTGAGAACTGAACAAGCTTAGTGGATCTCTGCACCATGGCATAGTCATGTAATCTGACTAAGTTGTCCAGATGACTGGGAGCTGTATGTTCATAAAAAATTCACTGTCAGTTCTTCCACAGACAGTACTGGGAATCGCTGCAATTTATGTAGAGAAGGTGGAGCGTAAGTAATTAATGCAATTAATAAGCAAGCCCAATGTCAAAAATGGAGAGTTGAGTCTTGTGAACTACCACTGCATTCAAAATCAGTCAGTAAACGTAGCTTGTAGTCTATGCTATCAGGAAAACAGCTTAACTCTTTATTGTGTTTGTCATGTGTTTGCAAGATACTAACAGAATATCACAAAACTGATCCTTTTTAAAATGTGTGACTTCACATAGCAGGACCTAGAGTAGGATAACAGCAACATTTCACCTTGCATGCCAAATACAAGTTTGTATCTTTCAGTCTGCATGTCTCAATTATCTTTGAATTCTGAGTGCTGACGTAGAATTACTTTAAAAAGTTGCTGGCTTTTGTTAGAAGCCATAGCAAGCTCCAAACACATTTCAGGATTGATATTCTGTCTGTTCCTTTTGCTGCCATTAATGTAGTCATACCAGCAGAGAGATAAGAGTTTTGAATTTTGCCACTACAGAGAATTCAGGGTTTGGATATAACATGTGAGACTGTACCTTCTGATATAATAACTGAATGGAGTTTGACTCGATTCACTGATCTGAATCAGTAGTTCAGCTGTGGTTTGTAGATGGCAAGAATCGCTCAGTCTCAGAAAAGTAGAGCACTGTCTTTTCTGACATCTTCCTAAACTCGAGTGGGAATCACCAGTGTCTCAATACCCTGATTGCTACTGTACAGTGGAGATGATGGTAAAAATGAGAAAAAAAACGTGCAACCGAAGTCGTGTTGACTCGAGCTCCTGAGTCAGTTCTGAAACTCACTGTGGACTTCAGAAAATTTTAGTGATTTCCCTAAGCTATAAGTTGGGAATATTCTTAAAGCTAAGACTTTAATCTAATTACAGAATCTTAAGATTTTTTAAAGGGCATAAAAATAAATTTAACTATTGTGTAATTTATTGTGTGTATTCTAGTAGTCTTTGGAGCTACTAATCTTCCAGTTTTTCATATAAATTTGAAATTCTACATGCTAAATGTATGGCTATACATGTTAGGAATGGAGCTATAGAGTATTATTTACTACTACTGGAAAATTCTGCAAAGACAGATCAATGGTTCCCAACACAGCTTTTCATACATGGCCCTTGCAGTGAAGAAATGTAAGTCTTACGTATGGTACCCAGCTAAAAAGAGGTACCTGTCGTACCTGTACCTAGGAAGGCTCTTGTGTTGAAGGTAGCAACAAATATGCTTATTTTGCTAAAGCATCATGTGCAATTGGTTGGTACGTGCAGGTGCAGTTAGCCAGCCCATTGTTTTACAAAGGAAAAGCAGCTGCCTGCACCGTACTGTAAGATTTTACTTGCCATGCATAATTAAAGACATGGCAGTCTATTACTGTGAAAGCAGTCAGGTTAACCCAAGGTTAAGACAACACCATCCATGATGCAGAAGTCAGGAGAAGGAACGTCAGCACCTCAGTTGGTGTTTGCCCAGTTGTTTCCATGTGCAGAGAAAATCTTAAGCTGACTTTGTTGAAGTTGGCATCACCTGACTCCCACAGACCTCAATTCTTCTCACTGTGGGAGGATGCCATACATAAACGGAGCTGACATGAATAAACAAGTGCAGTGTTCTGCCAGGAATAGTGCTAAGGTGATGATTGTGTGTCCTGCCAGCCTTTGAAAAATATTCTTGGAAGTGTTTTCTGTGGTTTTCTAGGCAGGGACCTCACACAAATAAAACCAGGAATGCAATTTACCCCAAACCGTAAGCTAATACAGAGTTCAAAGAGAATAATCAATCAGAAATGGAAAGCATTCTGTGGAATAATTTCTGTTTGCAGATGTTCTCTTTTCATTTAATACTGTGCTGTAGGCATCTGGACTGTCTCAAATATTTTGCAACACAACTGTTGAGAGTATGTGGATTTTTTTGTGAGGGAGATTTTCAGTTTCCCTTCAAGAATTAATAAAAGTGACTCTTAGCTTTAATATTAGAGATACTCAAGAGAAGAACGTACCTAATCAATCTATAAAACCGCGTGTTTTTCAAAAGAAGACAAAGCCTGATCCACCTGCTAAACTTTTCATTACAAAGACTAGCAATCCTATAAATCATATTTGGGTAGTACCTGGTACTTGAATATCACTGCAGAACGTACTCCATGCCCCACTTGTTGGGTGAGAGGTCAGGAATGTGATTTTAATAACGTATGTGTAAGTGAGATGGCTCCAGACATGGAGGTGGCAGCAGGATTGCAGTGCTGATGGGGAGAGCAAGGCAGTTCTTTTCCCCACTGACAAGTACTTATTGCTCTGTGTAAAAGGGATCAGACAAAACAGCAAAGGATTTTGTGGGTGTAACATGGTGTAAATGTAGAGCCTTAGAGGCAACTCTTCCATTAGCAAATCGAAATAAGGTGGAATTAGAGTAACACATGAAAACTGAGTGTTGCTCGAAATACCTTGAGCTTGTCTGAGTCATCTTTTCACTTCATGTCTCTGCTAGCCTATACTGTGTAGAAGGACCAAGAAATTCATTGATCACCCTGTTTACTCTGTGTGACTGATGTCCTGTAATGGATTCAGCTAACAGGAACTAAATCTAATACTGTCAAATAAGATTAGCAGCCAAGCTGGCAGATTTGAGCTCTGCCTGAATGCTGAGTGGATAGGGGTCAGTGGGTTTCTTTTGGTGTCTTGACCAGGTTGGTGGTGTAGGATTTCGTATTCCACAATGGTCTTTGAGATTAGTCTGTGCTCTGTGGTAACCTTTTTCTTCTCATCAAATTTATATTCAGATAGCTCTGATTCCTTCTACCATTTCTTTTGTCTTGTGAGGTCTGTGTTTCATCTGTGTAAGAGAAATGCAAAAGGAAAAGCAAAAGCTCCTCAACATGCAGTTTTGAAGTTTGAGGATACCACAGAATTCACAGAGTGTGTTTCTAAACTTACTGAGACCATGGGAGCTATAGTATGTTTATGTGTCCAAATTGCACCCACAATACCCTGCACTGTGTTATTGGTTCCATTTTGTCTTTAATAT